GAAACAGTTCAATAACTAAACTTAATCTTTTGTTCCTAAAGATTTTCTGCTAACTATAATTAAACTGGGGAGCATTTGAAGGGTAACATTTCTTTACAGAGCAGTACACTAATGACTGCTCCAAAATCAAGGGCATGAATGGGTTCATTTATATAGTTCATAAAAAGGAGATTTACATGACGGTTCCTCCCCCAATTGCTTGCTGGCTGGCTGACTAGGCAATCTTGCTGGAGGGAGCTCAGAGCACTCCAACAGGAGGCTGGAGGCAAGCACAATGTCCTGACCTCTGAGGTAACTGCTGGAGTCTGCTGGTGAGAAGGTTATACTGAGATGAACATGAACTAGTGACGACCACCTCTAACACGAGTGAGCTGGCCATGTTCTGTATCAAACCTACACCATGGAATGTAAGTTATCCCGTGGAAGGTTCAAGTGTTTCTTCTTGTCACCAGTGACTGACCTAGAGAAGGGTATGTACTGGCTGTATAATGCCCACATTATGCTTGTGACCACACTGGCTCCTCTCCCCAGCACAGAATATAAAAGCCCCAGGTCTTATGATGCAATGAGAGAAAATTAATGAGGAAGCATGGAGCCACAGGTGAGGTGAGGCACGTGACTGAACTCCAGGCTCAGAGTCCCTATTTCTGCTTTTACCACTAAGGCATCTGGAATCCTTATGGGAGTACATTCTCACTGGACATGAGGCCACCTGGTCCCCAGGGTTCTGGGACCTGGCTAATGTGTGTGAGAGCTGCCCAAGATGATGTGAGACCAGTTTGGAAGTTCAGGTCCCTCCTGCCTCCATGCGATTCCCAGCAAAGCAGCACCGATGCTCAACCTTCCTTTTACAGTCTGCCTGGCCCTGAGCTGATTGACAACACAGGGTTTGATGGAATCAATGTGTCTTCCTGGGGATGCTCAGCAGTCACCATATACTCACCCACCTCCTCCTGCATCTAAGCCTCCTTCCCAGCAAGCTCTCTGCCCAGGGTTTGAAGTCTTCCCCAGGTAGGGGTGGGCTGGTTCCCACATGGCTTTGACCTTCAGCTACTGCTAGAAGCAGTCATTCCTTTGAGCCTGTTCTCCAAACTCAGTATCTTGTCAATCATTTTCACTGAACCCATTCTACAGGTGTCCAGCTTGGTCACTCATCTGCCTGGCAGCTGGAAAAAATTTCCATGATGGCTGTACAGCAGCTCTCCTGGAGGTGTGTAAAAGGCTAAGAAAACTATTAAAGATCTTCCCTGTCCATGACCTTTGCACATCCTTGATGGCACATCTAAAGAAGCCAACTTTTCTGCAGGTGTGCCTCATTCAAAACTCAGTCATTGACTTATCTCAAGGCCCTCACTCCCTCCCTTCAGGATATGGCCAGTCCTTGGGGGGATGAAGTGTCCTTCAGGGTATCACAAGGTCACATAGGTTGTTAGAATGAAGTTTCTCTGTTCTAATTTGTATTTAAGGAGCCCCACTGGGAATAAGACTTTGGAGTCTCACCCGTGGCGAGGATGCTCCTTTTGGGACTTCCCAGTCAGGATCCTGAAAAGCTGCCCTGGGATTCCCCAGGTACATGATCAGATGTTGGTATTTCTCTGGATCCAGTGATGTATTTTTTTCTCTTCCTCTCTTGCCTATCACTTCTGCTGCTGCTTCCATATTATTTCTAAAATAAATGCTATCTTGTGTAAGGAGAGTGTCTTATTGTCCCTCAGATCTGACCTGCCAAATTCAGCAGCTGCACACATGTGTAATGCTTTAATGTTACAGTGTGATGGTGAGTGGGAGTTTCCTTGGTTCTGACTGCTCAAGATTATATTTAGGTTTCAAATAAATAATAAATTCTAATCAACTAGCACGGGCTAGACATATATAGCAAGGGCTTAATACACAGTAGCTGTTACACTATCACTAAAGCACACTTCAACTAAAGCTTTAAATGTAAGAGAGGCCTACTTGATGAGAAAGATAAGTCACTAGGCTTTTTGAGGGTTAATACATAAAAATGCACAAAGGAAAACAGAGAAGGCAGTTATATATCAGCAGCCCCCTTTCCTGTTTCATTGCAAAACACCTGAAGGGGAGGCAGAGACCCCCCCCCCCCCGCAATGTTTTAAATGTCTGTGGGGTCACAACTGGCATGTACTCCTTTGCCCAATGCTGACATCACTTCCTGGAGAAGATGGGACCTATCTAAAGCTGGACAAAAGGACATCAGTATAAGCATATTTGAGAAAAAAGCAGTATTTGCAATAGTTTAAGCTAAAAACTGCTTTAAGATACTTCATAATCTTTGGGGTTAATGTGTTGAAAATGTCAGCTGACTGACTAACCACCAACTGTGCCCCAACACCATGTGACCATTCAAGCTTGGGATCCCCAGCTGCCAGCTACAGTGCTGTCACTTGTGGCTTGAGGTCCTTCCTCACCAATTGCTATGTCTGTCAGAGCAGCAGGGACCAGCTGACTGGCTCAAACCATATGTGCTATTTCTGTGCATAGGATGTGAGGAAGGTGAGGAAGTGCACGCCGTGGTAAATCAGACCAGGATATGAGTCAGATCATATTATAAAGGGTTGAAAAAGACCGATCTTCAAAGCACACTGAGCATCATGCCGGGCTTCAACATAATTGGAAAGGAGCCACAGTTTGAAAGACACTTATAATTACTAAGTAAAGGAGAAACACTGAAGACTGTGAAAGGTTAAGTTTGGTCAAAGGCCTACAAGTGAAAAGAAATAGATAAGGTAGAAGCCATACTCTAAGGGTCTTAAAATTCTGCAATAAAAAGAAAGATTTACCAGGATCACCTACTTCTCCAACATATTTTGGTCAGATAAGCAGAGGTAGTCAAGTAGACAGATAAGCAAAGGTAGTCAAGTAGACAGCACAGAAAAGCTATAAGATTTTGGGCTTGCCTTATTTTTCTTTTTCAAACAAAAAATTTTATCTGCAAGGCAATCTTTCTTGGGCCAGATTAATGGTCCTAAACTAGCTCTTTAAAATAAGAGAATCTATGGACAATGAGGTATAAAGATATGCCCCAAAATATGGATGTCTGTAAGTAACACTCGAAGAGTAAAAATCTGTTAACAATCACTATCACAAATCAGTTAAATAAACCATGGGGTGTCCCTTTCTTGGAATCCAAGCAGCTGTTAAAAGAAGTGACATAATTTGAATATTCTTACATAAAATGATGTCTGAAATAAACTGTTATGTCAAAATATCAAGTTGTAGAAAATGTGTATGGCAATCACATTTCTGCTAGAAATGATGTTTGGAGAAGTCTCTAAGGAGTCAGAGAAGCCCACTTAAAATTGTCACTAGTGACCCATTGAATCATTTACAACAGCTATTTTATTTTTTAAAAATATTTATTTTTTAGTTGTAGTTGGACACAATTCCTTTATTTTGTTTATTTATTTTTGTGTGGTGCTGAGGATCGAACCCAGGTCCTCGCATGTGCTAGGTGATCACTCTACTGCTGAGCCCCAGCCCCAGCCTCAAAAACAGCTATTTTATAACAGAGAATAAAACCAACAAAGATATTTATAAGAAAAGAATAGTACACATCTGTTTTTTTTTCTCTAGTAGCAAGATTCTGGGAGGCCTTAGGTGGCCTAATGGTATTGCCAGCATCCCTGGCTGAATCAGTGTGCAGCAGGACAAACCCTGGGAAGGGTCCAGTTCTGGGCAGCCCTGAGCTCTCTGCAGGTCCAAGATGGCAGCAGGGAGGCAGCAGAGTCAGCATTTCTGAAATGCCATGGGAAAAGGGCTTACTGGCCTCAGAAGCCCTTTGTTTACCCCTGCCCCTGTCATGGCACCCTTGCAGGGCCTACATAATTGCACTTCTGCTTGGTGAGCTGTGGGGAGCTCACAGCCTAGCCATACTTGTAGCCATGACCCCAGACCACCACTGCTCAGCCTTGGCATGCCAGCACATCTCAAAATGGTTTTACTGGCTTGATGTTCAAGAGGCTGCAAAGAGTTATTAGTGAGGTGTGACAGAAACAATTCATCTGCACATCACTTCCCTCCCAGCAGAGCCTTGTGGAAGCATCCTTTCTTCCACAGCCAGGATAAAGGGAGGTAGTTGACCTGCCCCTGTCACCACAGGAATCCATCCTAATGCCCTCCCAACTACGCATTTCCTCTCTGTAAATCAATGTCCTCTGGTCTTCCTGACAGCCCCTTTCTTCAGGAGAGAGGGGAGGCAACAGGCCATCTGTAGAAACCACATGCCCAGGTCTGCAAACAACTGTAGCTTCAGCCTTGTCTGCTCAAGGCTGAAGAAGCCCATGCGATTGTTGAAGTATTTTTGTTCTTCTTAGATCTACTCTTGAATGCCTTACAGGCTGTTTCCACTGAGTTCTATGACAACTTGATCAATGTCTGACTTCTTCACCAGAACAAGAGCCCCTTGAGGGAAGAACTTGCACCGTCCCCAGTGCATAGCACAGCATCTGCTACCAAGTAGATGCCCAGTAAAGGCTTGCTCAGTGAAAGGATGATAAAAGGGCTGCTGGGGGATCCATGGAAGTGGGAGCAGGAAGGAGCTTGGGAGGCTTCTCTTCCCTCCCATGTCCAGCTTGCCTCCTCTGTTTTTTGTAATATGTGTCCAGGTGAATAGTTAGCAAGAGATATTTCCCCTCTCAAATGCTGGAGACTTATCAGAGCTGTGTATTAACAGATGACAGAGTTTAAAGGAATGAGGAAAGTGGCTGTGCTAAAGGATAGGAAGAATATGACAGAGGCCAGACATGGTGGTGCACGCCTGTAAACCTAGCAGCTCAGGAGGCTGAGGCAGGAGGAGCGTGAGTTCAAAGCCAGCCTCAGCAACCGTGAGGCAATAAGCAAATCAGTGAGACCCTGTCTCTAAACAAAATACAAAAAAAGAAAAAAGAAAGAAAGACAAAAGAATATGATCCTCTTCCCATATCAGAGAGGATCTCAGACAGTCCTGCAGGAGGGCAGAGGGGGCAGGATGGAGCACTGACCTCGGCTGATGCGCTGCTTCTCTCCAGATAAGATGCCAGGGCTGTCAATGATGCTGATACTCTTCAGGACCTGATTGGGCAGCTGGGAGCACATGAACCTAGAAGAACCAGACAAAAAAGGCAGGGTCAGAACTGGGCCTCACAAAGGGCTCTAACTCCGGGTGCCCAGGGCTTTCTGGGCCCACTTATGTCTGTTAAGTGGGGGTGTAGAGGAGGTTGGCGGACACTAAAGAAGCTTGTAAAGTTGCCTGTACAGCAGGGGCTTCGAAAGAATGATGGCAACTCCACTGGTGCCACACAATGATGCCAGCCTACGGGACAGGGTGTGGGAGGTAGGCTGGCTACTTACCATTCGATCTCTAACTGTTAACTTTCATTTGATCCTCATATTAACCTCCCGAGGAAAAAAATTACTATCACTTTGGGGTAACTAGCTCAGTGTCACTCAGAGCTAGATCTTACATCCAGGTCAACCTGACTCAAGTCCATGAGCCTCCCTTTCCTTCCTCCTTGCTCTTCCTGCCCAAGCATCCCTTCTCCTGTAGGAAATCCCATGACTCCTTTAGAGGGCACTTCCCCACTTGGCTACAGTACCCCAAACTCCCTGTCCTGTCCTGCCCATTCCCCGGGGTGAGGGCTGGAGGTATTGGGGCCTATTTCCTTGTCTGGTACCCAAAATTCAGCACCCAATGCCTCTTTGGTTTTAGGTCCAGGGAAGGGCAGACACCTATGTGCAATGCCCCAAATCTTCCAGGTGTTTAGGAGTCCTAGAAGTTCCCTGGCAGCAGACAACTGGGCTGCGGTTGGGTCCTTGGATGAGCTTTTCTAAGCCTCTTTCCTATCTCTCACTTGCCTGATGCCACTTCCTTCTTCTGACTGTGGTCCTTCCTGTTCTGGTTTTAGTCAGCTACCTTTGCGATGGCCTCATGGAAGCAGATTGGGGTAGGAGGAAAATTCTGGCCTGGGGGTTGGCAGACCTGGGCTCAGTTTCTGCTTAGTCTTTGCCAATGATTTTCATGGGCCCTGGACAAGTGCTTCCCTCTTTGGACCTCAGTTTCCTTATGGGTGCTGAGACACTCTGGACCAGAAACTGGTGATGTTCTTTGTAGCTTTACCACTGTAAACTCTATGAGTAACAGCAGGAAGCACTTTGTTACTTCCAACAGAGGCAAGAGAGCCTGGTCTGGATCTTTGTTAGGTCCTGTGTATGTTTTAAGGAGGAAACAGGAGTGCCTCTCCTTTTCCTGTCCCATCAGTGGCCAACTTCTTTCTCTGTGTGGCAGAAAGCTTGAAAATACTCGATAACAGCTCAATTCTTCCATTCAGTGGAAGTGGTGGGGATTACTCACAAAGTAAGTATGCTGGGAATTCGGGTCAGGGAGGCCGCCCAGCCTCCACAGTGCCTATGAACAGACTGACTCCACAGGCAGGGGAGGGCAGCCCAAGCCTGGATACCAATTTGACATTTCAACATCACTTTGCTTCAAGGTGCTCAGGACAAGTTTTTCCATACATTCTTTCCTATCTTTCCAAATCATCCCAGGAAGGCAGGGGAAAGGAGGATCCTTTCTCAGGTGGAAAACTTGCAGCACAAAGCAGAAAGACAACTTGAGGCCATGTGCTAATGCATGGCTGACTGGGGACTAGACACCTAAACTTTCTTCCTTCTTTTTTTGCAGTCCTGGGGTTGAATCCAGGGCCTCACACAATGCTAGGCAAGCACTCTACCATGAACTACATTCCCAGCCTGCAACTTAGCATTTTTGATATCAGATGAGTAGAAAGCAACCCATTTAGTTAAATATGTAATGTTAAAAATAGAGGGTCAAGAGAGGCACATAATGTAATCCCAGAGACTTGGGGAGGCTAAGGCAGGAGGGTTGAGAGTTCAAACCTGGCATCAACAACTTAGTGAGGCCCTAAGCAACTCAGCAAGACCCTGTCTCTAATAAAATATTTTAAAAAGGACTGGGGTTGTGGCTCAGTGGTTAAACTCCCCTGAATTCAATCCCTGGTACCCAAAAAAAGGGGGGGCGGGTTTGAGTAAATTTAAAATAAATTGCTCATTTCTGCTTTTCCCTCCCCACCCCTGCACCCTGAACTACACTGCCCAATGCCAGGAAAGATTTGTGAGTAAAGCATATAGGGATTGCCAAGCACTGTTTGTAAATTCACAGAGCAAAACACAACTAACTACTCAGTTGTCTAGAACTGGGGGAGAAACTGAGTTCTAAGCACATCTGGGGTGGCCCCCATTTCTTCTCATTTCCTCCTTTCTATCAAGCAGCCCTGGTGATGCTAAACATATTGCACCTACATGAAACTATTTTACACAAACTGTTCCCATGGGGAGGCTGATGTTTCTCCAAAACCACAAGCTCACACTCAGTATCAATTTTTCCAAAACATAAACCCTTAGATTTTGGTGTGTGGCTGACACAGGGATTCAAAATTTACATACTGTTCACTCCCTGTGTATAAAGAAACGGCATTTTAACAGCTCCCAGGCTTCCTGACAACAGCAGAGGCTAAATGTGCGAGCCAGAGAGAAAAAGTGCAATGAGCTGATGTCACCACACGACACATAAGGGAGCCAGGCCAGGGGCCTAGGCAACTGCCAAGGGGAGGAGAAGGAGGAGAGCGAGCCCTTGGGGGCACATGAGAGGGACCGCTGAAGTTGTGTGTGCAAAGCTGGATCCTACTCCATGAAAGAGCACGGGTGGGGTTGGGCAGGAGAGCACAGAGCACCAATGAGCACTCAGTCCCCAAGGCTGCCACAGCTGCACTGTAAAGCTAGAATCATAAAGTACTCTACCACTGAGCCACATCTCCAGCCCACGGATGTATTCTCAAAAACCATTTAGCCAGGTATGGTGGTGCTACATGCCTAGAGTCCCAGAGACCTGGGAAGCCTAGGCAGAGGATCACAAGCTTGAGTCCAGCCTGGACAACTTAGTGAGATCTTGTCTTAAAATAGGAAAAATTTAGAGGACTGAGAGTATAGTTCAGTGGCCGAATGCTTTCCTTGCATGTGCCAAGCCCAGGGTTAGATCCCTAGTACCACAAAAGAAAAAGCAAACAAATAAAAATCCACATTTTATTGTAATCGGAAAGTGATTGATGCTTCTCTATCAATCATGTTTTACTCTCTGCATTCAGAAAGGAAGGTAGGAAGCAAGCTCACTTGTATCCATCACAGTCAGTGCAGGCGAGGCCTGTGCCTTTCTGCTGGAATGTTTCCAAACACAGATTTGCTGTTCCAGGATGGATTTCCTACTCCTTCCTGAATGATTAACACAAAGTGCATCTGTGCCTGGCCTTCTCCACATGAAATATGTGGACATGTGCTGGTCAGAACCACAGCTGACCTGATGAGCTTTGTTTTCAAAAGTCAAAGAAGAGAAGGGAAGAACCAAGATTCTTTGCTGGGTCCCCATTCCATGTCACCTCCAAATCTAGGGAAGGTCGGGGTAGCAGAAAGAAGTGGTTGACACTCTAATAGCACAGGCTGTAAGGTTGTGGGCATGTTGCCAGGAGTCCTGACTCACAGTAAAGTGAGAGGCGAGAGAATAGATTACTTAAAATTGCTTCTCAATGCTAAAATTCCAAGTCAATGATCAATTTTTTTTTTCCACAGATGAGGGTCTTTTTTTTTTTGTGGTGCTGGGGATTAAACCCAGGGTCTTGTGCATGTGAAGCAAGCACTCTACCAACTGAGCTATATCCCCAGCCCCATAGATTTATGAGATTTTATAAATACCAAATAATCATATTAGATACTATAATAATCAAATTTGGATCAAATTAGCCCTGAGGAGAATCAAACTTTTTAAAATGTAGTTCAGCTGAGGAAAGAGACAACTTTGTATAAAGAAAAAATGGCTTTAGAAGAGACATAACATAATGGGGCTTCTCCAACTAGAGGGCAGAAAGACTGGCTGGAAAGGAGAGTTCAGTGATCAGTTTTTCAAGAATTCAACTTGTAAAAGAACCTTAACACTGACTGAATTTTTAATGAAACAGTGATCTCTGTGGCGTTTGTAAAAAACAATAAACTAGCAGCAGCATTTACTGACCTCTTACCATGTGTCAGGTCTGTACTAAGCATTTCCTCTGCACATGAACTCAATCTTTCCACAATTCAAGGGGCCTATGGGCTAGGAGCTGTCATCTTATAAAGAAGACTGGGGCCCAGAGAGTCCACATGCTGTAACTTGCCAAATCCCATGGCCAATAAGAGACAGAACTGGGATACTGTTAGCCTGGCAATTCTGCCTGTGGAGTCCAGGGTCTTAGCTATATGGCTACTAATACCTCATGCTTTTGAGGTAATAGTAGGGGAAAATGTCAGGTCCTCATCCCTGATACTTCTGGAACTGACCGAAACACACTGGTGTCACCAGGACCTGTGTGCTCAGTATGCTGCTGGCTGGGTCCATTCCTTCTAACCTGCCTCCTCATGCTTTTGAATCATGATTTTTGTGTCCCTTTAGCACACACAGGGAAATATCTTGAAACATGAGTGACATGCCACAGTCCTGAAGCTCTTCTCCCAGGGGCTACCTTGTGGAGCTTGCTCTCTACCTGTTCGTATGGAGGGTAGGGGCAGTGAACAGAAGGCAGATGTGTGCTTTTACCAATTTCCCTCGTGTAGGTCTCTAAACCTCTCTGAGCAACTATTACAAGGTTATTATAACTATTATAACTTAGCTATTAGGCTGAAATAAATTTAAACTTACAGTGGTGAGAGTATAGAACTGTTTCAAAGCATTTCCTTTGACCCCAGCCCATTTTATTCACATGGGTAAAACCAGAGAAATTACACGCCCATACTAAGTAGGAGAATAAATAGGACACAGTCTATAAAAAAGACTTTAACAATTAAATTGTAATAATTATTACATGGTCCTGCCACAATGGCTGACCTAACCTTCTAGTGCCCAGGAATAACTGAAGTCCACATCTAAACTATATAAAAGCCCCTGGTTGCCCTTTGACTAAATCTTATGAAATTATCACTTTGAAAGGTAAAAGATGGTTGAAGACTGGTGATTTCACATGGTTCAACCTAAACAGTTACTTTTATAAATCCTCTCTT